TTTCTTGGCCCTGAATTGGTTGAAACAGATGTTGGGGAGAGCCCGTGGGGAGGTTGACTATGGCAGCTTTATCTTGATTATGATTTTGCTCTTTTTCTTCCCAGACTTGTCTGGCCATTTCTGACCCCTTTCTCTGAGTCCCAGCCAGAAGGGGCTTTAGGCTTGTGGCAAGTTTTCAGTCCTTGCTTTGGGCCAATCCCTTTGGGTGGACTTTTACCCTCAAGGGGACGGATAACTTCGGGTGTTTGATTTAGAAACTATATTCTTTTGTCTTTTCTATATTGCACACTCATTGTATTAAAGTTCCTTTCCATTAAATCTCTTTTGTCTTGATGCAGTGGACAGCAGAACCTATTTAGAACAGGCAGGTTTGGGGGTTCGTTGGTGCCTCTCTCCCTGCCCTGTAACACTGTTACAGGGTACCCCAATGTGAATTGGGTTGCCTGTCTGTGGGTCTTCACCCGTGCGCTTACGATTCGATTGTATTATGGACACACTCAAAAGGTTAAATAATGGATTTATTTATAAGGAGAAAGGTAAAGGAATAACCCAGGGAAAGAGGGAGAGAAACACAGGTTAACTAGGATGTCCTACTAGTTCTGCTGACTTGGCCTCCACCCGCACGTTGAAAACTGATTGAGCGCCAAAAGGATCAGCTGCGAACCACCAGGTCCCCCCAGAGCCCACATGTCCGGTTTTACCCCAACCTGGCTGCTCAGCTCCGCCCTCCCGTCCCGGCATGCTTCTCCTTGGTACTGATGGGATTTGGCGTTCCAGCATCTGGAGTGGGGGCGGAGTCCGTGAAACCTGTACCTGTTACAACATCACTTTCTCAGATGCATGTTGGCCTCACACCCAACACTAAGATAGTCATTTTACTTTTTGGTTATAATCATGAACATATTTTAGGAGGTTAAGACCAGAATTTCACAGATTCATTTAATAATGGGGAAAATACGCTGGGTTCACCAAAGAAAACACTTAAAAATAGTTTTTAAAAAAAAAGAGGTGGTAAGTTCTGACAGTGAAGGCATGTCACATTAGGTGACTACACTTTAGGTCTTTAGGTGTTGGTGAACAGCAGGAAGCCTGCCTTTCCCAGTGTCTTGCCCAACTGGGAACCACAGCCCAGGTGAATGGGAGAATGAAAGCACCTCGGGGGTACAACAGCAAACAGCTGAAAGCAGTTTTGTTTAAAGAACAAGGCCCTCCGCCCTCGCCAACAGCTTGCAGGAAGCTGGCCTGAGGAGATTTATCCAGGGACAGATAAGAAGCAGAAAGGTTCACACAAGATGGAGAGGTCGTGGCACAGCAGACTTTCCTGGCTCTCCCACTGCTCCCCTCGGCAGCATATTTTGGTTACTCCACTGTTTTGTTTCCCACTCTGTCTCTGGTGACTCCTCTCACACTCCCCGCCCCCCTCTTCCTGCACCTCTGACTTATGCCCCAGTTCTTGTATGCATAAATAAATAGATCTTTAAAAAAAAGAGGGGTTCCCTATGGGGTGGGTGGAAACAGCATGGGGATTTATAGTTGCAGCTCAGGGGTTTGATCTGTGGTGGTTTCATCAGCCTTGGTTGATGTCCTAATAGAGACTAACTGTGATAGAGTTTTGAGCTTTTTTTCTTGTTCTGTGTTGTTTTGAATTTCCATTATGTGTCCTGGGGTCCCCATCCCTCCTCTCCCTCCTGCAATGTCACCCAGGACCACAATCCCTAACTTCCCATCAATGTGTAACTCCTCATTTTTACACAAAATTCTGATATGACAAGCGTATCTCCTGCTCCCAGCGAACACTAACCACTTCCAGTCTGACGGAGTGTGGTGTTACTTGTGCCTACACAGCTACTTTAGACAGAAATCTTGCACAACTCAGTTTTATTTCATCGCACAACTCAGGCTCTGCCTTGGGCACCTAGCTGACTCCTTAAGTGTTACTCTATTATTTATCTTTTATCTAATAGTTTCCTCTATTATGTCTACATATTCTAATGAAACTTGAATGTTCTTTTCTTGAGACAAAACTGTCATCTAAATAATTGGACCACGTGTACTATGCTTAATGGCTAATATTAGAAAATAGATATAACAGTGCTGTGACGGAAGAAAATACACCTGTTTCTGAATATATCTATATTACATATATAATAGATGTGTCTATGTCATATACACATAGCTCTGAATGTTATATATAACATATAAATATATAATATACATGATATGTATATGTCACATATGTGTGTTTCTGATTATATATAGTATATGCATATGTATCATGTACAAATACATTTTTAACAATACAAAGTTTATCAATCCAAAACTAATCAAATGTTTTTATCTGTGTTTAGGAGGAAACAAGTAGATTGCAAAAAATTAATTAAAACCTCAGCTCAAAGGAAACTTCACCATCTTCACCAACAGAGAGTAACTTTTCTCAGGAACAATATCAAGAAACTGAAAAGGACCCTTTTCATTCTGTAACTTTACAATAAAATATATTGCTCCCCTAGAATTTCATGCTTTTAGCAATCTGAAATATAGAAGGGTCTGGAAACTAGCCATGACTTCCTCAGTTCCAGCCTCCGTATCTGACAGGACACAGAAAGCGCACAATGAATGCTGGGAAATACCTACCTCAGCTCATTGCTCAGGTCTCCTTCTGCCTGCCATTTGCCCATTACACCTCGCTCTGTTCCCTGGTGAGCTGGCGCTTGTCTGCATGCACTAGATTACATCATATTTGTGTGAAAAGTTACCTTCTGGTGCACCACGGTAAAGTTCCCTATTTGTCTAAAAACCCAGCAATGCTCTGGGAAGGCTGTATAAACTTGCTTTTCAGGAGCAGGCCCCGTGACAGCAATAATGGCTACTCTTCACTGCACTGTATCAACATATTCTTTATTGCTCCATAGAAGTCACAGGGAATATTTTTGTCCCCTTGTGTTGCTGATGAAACAAGATTAGAGAGTTTGAGAATCCTCACTGAGAATATAGAGCCCTTAAAAGGAGCAGAGGAACATCAAGCTACATATGTCTGATTTCAAAGATGCATTGTTTTAAGCATCAGTCTTTACTCTCCCCCAATAAAAGGCTAGGACATTTCTGTATCTCTAAAACTAAAACATATTTTGGGAGAACTAAGGGGTGATGCACTTTGTTGCATTTATATTAGCTTATATCATGAAGGAAAGAGAGAAAAAAAGTTCTTATAGTTCTTGAAGTGATTTTTATAACAAGGTAATCCGCTTGGAGGTAAAAAAAAAAAGTTCCTTTTAGTGAGTGTGAAAGTCAGGATGGAGATAAGAAAAAGATACAAGATACGAGGGGAAACATCTGTAACATTTTTATAGGAACAGAATAACCAACAAAAAGAAATCTTAATTATTAATAACAGCTTTTTCTATGGCTAAAATGGAAGAAGCCCTTTCCCATGGAAATGCAGAAGATTCTAAGTGTGAGGGAGTGAGAGGCAGAGTTCTTGACCTTCTGAATAATTTTTTTTCTATCCAAGAAGGTCAAAGATAGTCAGCTACTAAAGAGAAATGAAGGAATTAAGTTGCTTTTTAAAATTCCTGTAGTTTGTATTTCAGCCTCATGTAGGACTGATAAGACCTAGTCACTTGTACTATGATGAAAGAGTTATTTATCTATTTTTAAATTTTCTATTTAAATGTATTTCTGTTGGTACAGCTGTACAATGTTGAGTTGCTCAGAATTACAGTCTTTATAGAACAGCAGTATGGTATGTATACAGACAGCTTTTCAAAAACTGTAAAGTGTCTGATGCAACCAACTTTGAAAATTGGGTCATATCAGTTTTTCTGGTAAACTCTAGATCTCTGGCGTGATCAAATCAGCATCACGGGTTCATTTACCATTTCTTTTAGCTATGTACAGTATGAAATAATAGGGGTAGAAAATGAAAATGCTATCTTTTACACTATATTTAAATACACTGTTTTGTACCAGAAAAATTCTAAATTTAGACAAGTTAGCCGCTAACATTCAGGGGCATTGACAAACTATCTTTAAACATTTTGAAAAATGAAAGGTAATGATTCTAATGTCTTAATGTTTTATGCAATTTACTTGGATTTTATCGAAGGAATCACAACCTTTGTTAAAATAGAATAAAATTTTAATAATACCCAGACTGCCAAATCAATAACTTCAACATCACTAATTTAAATAAATGAGAATGTAAGTACTAAATGATGTGCTACTTCACCTGGGTTACAAATATCTAAATTTTAAAGATCAATTAAAATGCATTTTCATGGGGTGGTAGAGGAGGAAGCGTTACTATATACTCACAGCTTGCTAATTAGCATGCACAGAGGAACAGACAGGCCATTTGCTAAGATACTTGGGTATTTCCAAATCATTTAGTACAGTGCAGCACTCCAGCCTCTAAACTCCTTTCTGAGATCTCCCCAATCTCAATAGGATCCAGCAAAATCAAATCAAAGTCTCCTGGGGTAGAATAGTAGGGCAGGCAACAGCTATTTTCTTGGGCTTCAGCAATAATTTTTTTAAAGACTTATTTATTTATTTATGCATACAGAACTGGGGTATAGAGATGCAGGGTCTGTGAGAGGATTCACCAGAGACAGAGTGGGGAGCAGAGCAGGCATATCAATGAAGTACACTGCTGAGGGGAGCAGCAGGCAGGTCAGGAGATGTCTGGCCGCCATGTGGGTCTGCCGCAGGGAGGCAGGCGGGGATCAAACTCTTACTGAAGTGGCTTTAGTTTCTTAGTGCTGTGCTTTAACCCGCTGCGCCACCAGGGAGGATCTCAGTAATAATTTTAGGCTGAAAAACAAGAACATCAGAAGAGAAGTTAGCGAAGGATGCACTTACAAAGCAAACTTATTTGCCTGACAGTTTAAATGCACAGTCATTTTTAAATCTGTTTTTGGTGCTATTCATGTAGCCTTTTCCTTCCTCATGTAAGCTTGATAGCAAGTGCCTTACTTATTAGTGAAATTAGAAGAGGCATCTTAATCCAAATCTTCAATCTTTACTAACGCAGCTGCTTTTTCGCAAATCCAGGAAATTTCAGCACTGCAGCGGGAAATATAAATGTTTCCATTTTGATAGTAAGCACATCCTTTGGATCCATTGATCTGGGCATATTCCATAGTACTAAGTCTGAAAGTGAATCAAATTGAAGTCAATTATTAACCGCATACTTGAAATTCAATCACAACTCCATGTTCTCAACTACCTTACATCCAAACGTTGTGTAGCTCAGTGTTGGGAATCTTCTGTTTCCACAACACATTCAAACCCTTAAAGCTACAAGTCCAGGTCTTTGTTTCAAATTGGTCAGTTAGAATTATTTAAGATGTATAAATTCCAAGCTGAGAATGCATATTCCCTTCAATAACATTGTCAAAACTATAAATGGAGATTATATTAAAAGTTGTGGGCAGCAGGTTAAAGAGCAGTCCTACAAAAGAGCTGAAGCTGCTTCACTGTGAGTTCGATCCCCGCCTCTGAGGTGACCCACATGGCGCAGCAGACCTATCCTGGCTCGCCCGCCCACTGCTCCCCTCAGCAGTGTACTTTGTCAGTCTGCCTGCTCTGCTCCCCACTCTGTCTCTGGTGAGTCCTCACACTGCCTCTGTGCCTCTAGCCTGTACCCCAGTTCTGTATGCATAAATAAATCTTTGAAAAAAAAGTCGTAAAATTATTTTCCCTTGAAACCTTATGAAGAAAATTAGAATAGAATAGTGTAAACAATCTACCCTGGAAAGCTTGGTTTCCCTCAAGTAGCTAAAGACTTACAAGGATGGAGAGAGGGTAGACCCATCCTCCCATAGCCAACTTCTGCTGGGTGGGTCCCATGATAATCCCAACCAGAAAAAGGAAAATTTGGGTATTGGCTGTGATTTGAGAAAATCCTGTGACAGAAAACAGGAAAAAAGCTATTAGAGTCATATTCTGATGAGCAAAATGGGGAACATACATGAAATTTATTTATTGTTGCTCATTCAAGATGCACTGCAGTCCTACTGTGTGGACCAGAAATTCCCTGTTCTAGGTAATTTCTACAGCCAGAGAGGGAGATTCCACAAGACCTTTTCTTCCCAGCTGTTGATCTTCACCAATGTGGAGTTCTTGTCCTTGCAGTCTTGGCGACTGTGAACCCAGGTTTTCTCCTCATTTGTTTCGAAATAATAGCAGCTGTTTTGGTGCCAAAGCCACCTCTTTGGACAAGGATTACACTTGTGGTCTGCAAAAGAAATGACAGCCCTATTACCAACAAAACAACTCTAAAGTGCTTGAAGAAGTTTTTGGAAACTAAATCATTTGACTGTAGGAGCCTCTGAAAATGACGTCCCCACTGATGATGGCAATAGCAATTGCAACTCTCTTTTCACAGCTCACGTTTCTGCCTTCAGAAATACCAGGTATAACATTTACTTCTTGTAAAAAGTGGATCTCCTGAAGAGAAGTTCATGAAGGAAGGAAATGAAGAATCAGATTGGAATCATACCAAGGTGTTTCCCAAATTTGATTCTTTATCTTTAAAAGCATGAAACAATTCGGTGGTGTCCCTTGCCTTTTATACCTCCAGCACAACATCTTTAGAGGTTGCTGGACAGCCTGAGTGTTTCAGTCTCCAAGGGGGCTCATCATCTACCTCAACTGTGGCAACTGAGTTGATCTGATTACTCAGCAGGTCCTGGTTACCTGAAGTGTGAGTGATTAATTCCTGGCAAAGTTTGATGGCCATTCGCCCCTGCCTTTTCAGCAGGTTGGAGATCTGTGACTTGAGATCCTCCGTGGGGAAGTTCAGCAGTTTGGAGGTGTTATCTTGTCGTGGCTGGATGACTTTCTGCAGTTGACAGAACGTCTCTGAATCTGAGTTAATTTTGTGAGACATCTGCAAAACTTCAAGACACAAAAGGAGACAAGTGCATATTTTCTTCCCTGCTCATGAAAGCCCGAGATCATTCTTTTAATCCAGAAATATTTTTGGATTGTTTAACATTTATTAATAGCCACTAAAGATTGAACTGCCATGGAAAAACATAGCTGATCTCTATTTCAAATGATTTAGATATCATCCATATCATTTTTATTCATATGTTAATCTGATTTTAGTCATATTAAAATAATGAATTGGGCCCTCCCTGGTGGTGCAGCTGGTTAAAGCAGTTAAAGCACTGTACTGCAAGCTAGCCACTGCCACTTTTGTGGGAGTTCGATTCCCACCCCAGAGGTGACCCACATGGCCCAGCAGACCTCGCCTGTCTCTCCCGCTGCTCCCCTCAGCAGTGTGCTTCCTCTATCTGCCTGTTCCGTTCCCCACTGTCTCTGGTAAATCCTATCACCACCCCTGTACCCCAGCTCTGTATGCATAAATAAATAAATCTTTAAAATAAAATAATAAATTAATGATTATACATCTCCAACATTTATCCATAAATCTGCATTTTAAATAAACACTTTGGTGATTCATTAGTTTAAATCTAAAATGCATTTAAGAACTTTAGGGAAAAAAATCTACCTTTTCTTGAACCAATTTTTACATATCAATGCATCTTCATTCTCTAATCTATGCCTTATAGAGGATCAAACTAATAATCCTCATAATAATTGGCTACTGAATATCTGTTTATGCTATTGGACATTCAGATTTCTTTTCACAGGATAAGGCGCATCATTAGCCTTTATTTATAAAGCCAAATATTAGGTATGTCCAAATCCGAACAAAGAAAGTAGCAAAGATGGAGGAAGCATTCGTTAGAAAATAAACTTTTGATGACAAGTTTCCTGAAAGTGAACACTGCCAATTCCCTATTTAGAGGACATTTATTTAGCATCCCATGAAATGTGTATTTTCAGCATATTTTTCCACTTACTCTTAGTACAAGATTCTCTATTCTATTCTCTATTCTGCTCCTGCAGGTTTCCCAGTGGCAAGTCCAAATCAAAGAATATTCCTTTTTGCCTACCATGTCCGGAGGTGGGATTTCCATGGTTCAACTTCCTCCTTAGCACGCAAGGTGCACCAAGCAATTCTTCAAAATTTGTAGTTCTTTTTATTTATAGCGTTCATGTGTTGTTACTGCTCAGAAGAAGCCCCTACTCTAGAAAGTTCTTAGGTGAATAGATTTAGTGTTGACTAAGTCTTAGAGATAAATGGCATGTTCGTCCTTGAGTCTGCTTTTGTCTCCTCTTTCCCAACATTGGGGTGATAAGTGAATGCGTCTCTAGGCGGGGAAAAAAAAATAGGCTCCTATTCCAACCAATAACTAGAAAAATAAAAGTCTTCATAGCGCAGTCTCATTCGTCCAAAGAACCGTGCATTCAGTTTAAAATTTTTATGGCAATAAAGGATGCCCCCTAGTGGCTGATGTTAGAGATACAGACAACGAGAGAAGAAGTTATTATTGAAAAGAAAACAGGATTCAGAATGGTAGCTCCCGGTCATACAAGCTAACCTGAATTTCCATACTTTAAAATATTTTTTCTTGATTAGCTTTCTTGGGTTTGATGCAAATATACTTACACAGAGTCCCCAAGGCTATCAGCGCGATCACCAGCATCAAGCAGAGAATCAGCAGGCCCAGGGCCGTGTGGCGCCATATGGGGGACAGAGTGGGATACGCTGAAGAGAGCGGGCGACATATTAGCACACGGAATTGCCTGGTGGTGATTAGACTTTGGGATAATTCTTCCACTTGGGAAGCTTTCTAAACTTGCTAAAAATTTCCCGCTTGCTTTCTCAATGCCCCCACCTAAAAACAAAATAGCAGTAATACATAAATAAATACATTTAAAAAACACGCAGTAAATGCCCGGCCAATAATTCACTTCTCTTCTCCACCGTTCTCCTGTTCCTTAAGAGTTAAGTGCCTCCTAATTGTTAAGTTTGTGTTTTCCTCATCATATTCCTCTTTTAGTATTCTGAGTGCATGAATGAGTTGTGGAAACTGTTTTCCTGGATTGACAATAAAATAGACATTTTATTGAAATTGCAGATTTCAAGGAGACAGGTGTTTTTTTGGATTCTAGTTTGATTTTTTATCCAGTCTGTTTATCACCTAGCAATAATGAATGACTGAATGGTGAATGAACAAATGTGCAATCTAAGCTAAAGCAACAGAATAGACCAGAGAACTAGTGGGAACTCTTAAGGATTTAGCATACACCTTTTAGAAATATGTGCATAGACAAATGACTATCACATGCACTTAACCTTCCTGTTCCTGAATTCGGGGATCTAATGGCATTTAGACCGGTGTTTCTAATAGAGTCATGGTTTCTTCAAGCGACTGTTGCATGTGTCATATCCCCAGCTCCTTTTTTCTCAAGGGTTACAGTTGGATTTTTTGTTAGGCACATATAAAGTCGATTCCCAACTCTTTTTTTTTTTTTTTTAAGCATCTCCCTTAAGGGCCCTCCAGTGGCATAGCATGTTAAAGCACAGAAGCTGTCCTACCCACTGAAGCCCTAGTTCCATCCCTGGCCAGGATGCTGAGCCACATGGTGCGGCAGACCTCTCCTGACCTGCCGGCTGCTCCCCTCAGCAGTGTACTTCATCAGTCAGTCTGCCCTGCTCCCCACTCTGTCTCTGGTGAATCCTCTCACTGCCCCTGTGCCTCTGGCTTGTACCCCAGTTCTGTATGCATAAATAAATAAATCTTTAAAAAGCATCCTCTTTACACTAAATAAGTAAAGGACAATACAGTTTATACGTTCTAGATGATTCAGAGCAACAAACTGAACCATCATCATAAGGTAAAGGACATAATCTGATATATTGAGTGGGATTCTAGACCACAGACTGCTCTTTCTTCCACATTTCAGGGAACGAGAAGACTAGGACTGAGCTGTCTCTGCCATATATCAGCTGTATGAACTTGGTGAAATCATTTAATTTATTTCATGTAAGTTTTCTCATGAGTGCATTCGAGAAAGTATTACTATTATTCTGGCTACTTCAAAATTGTGTTTTGATAACATGATTCACATATAGAAACTACTACACAGATATTGTTATTAATTCAACATTACAAATTATATCTGGAATTTCATCCCCTAAAAAAAGTTTTAAATACTTAAAAGACAGAACTTAGTTTTTGTTCATTTCTGACAACTCTCCCCTCCAACTTTTCTCTTCACTTATTTGTACGTTCAAGAAGAAAAAAATCTTCCACTTTTCTATTTTAAAAACTTCTCATCTGGCTTCTAAAAATAATGTCTCCTGGGCATCTCTTACAAGATGTAAGTATCAAGGACTTACAAAAAGAAACCCTAGTTCCTAAACTCAAAGCATTTCTCTATAACACAGAACTTAGTGACATTACACAATTTAGAGAGGTTCTAGAAGCCACATATTTTCTACAAAAATTGGGGATAGCTAATAGATCATGGAATTGTCTCCATTTTGGAGATTCCATGTTGTGCCTCCTTTACCATCAGTTCCAAAATCAGCACCTGGGCACATTTACACCTGTCCATCCCCCACATCAAAACTACTTTCTCTGCGCTCCTACCTCTTTTCCTTAGGTTATTTCTATTCTGGTTATTTCTTGCTCCAGCAGAATCTTGAAATGTAAGTGTCGCATAGGTCACGTCTTCAGGCATTGTAGAAGAAAGCTCTACTACAAATTATGTAATTAATGTGCCAAAAATCTTCAGGCCCAGAAACAGGATGTTCTTGTCAAGGCTGTAAACTTTTATTTAGATAGTCAACTGACACAAAACACTTCTTGTTCTCACTCTCGAAGGACAGAATGACAGCCAGCTTTTCTTCAGACAAAAAGGAGTCAACTCTTCTCCTCAGACATCAGACTATCATAGATTGAGCAGGTCTGCTCTTCTTATTGTGAAAGCAAAGATTGGGAACAGTGTTCTATGGAGGAATTTCCATGCTCCTCCACATAAAGCCTGCTGTGAATATTTCAATAGAGTGTCGCTTGCTGTCTTTTTTATTTATTGAAATTATAACAAAAGATTTATTTACTTATGAATATAAGAACTGGGGTATAGATCAGAGGTGTGGGAGTGAGAGGAGTCACCAAAGACAGAGTGGGGAGCAAAACAGGCAGCCTGATGAAGTACACTGCTGAGGGGAGCAGCGGGTGAGACAGAAGAGGTCTGCTGCACCCTGTGGGTCACCACCCTGGCAGGGAACTGAACTCGTGTTATAGTGGCTGCTAGTGGCTTCATGGTGCTCTGCTTTAACCTGTTGCACCACCAGGGAGGGCCAGCTTGCTGCCTTTATGTGTCAAAGATCAGCTAAGCTTATACAGAGACATCAGAGTGGGTGACTTCTCATGATGTCAGATACCAAACAGATACTAAGACAAGAAGAGCGGTTATACATCGTTAAACAGGAAATGTGGTGTAGTTAAAGACCACATGCAATCTGGTTGCTATTTTAAGAAACCCAAGCATGTGCAGTATGTGTGTGTGTGTGTGTGTGTGTGTGTGTGTCTGTCTGTCCCTCTGTCCCTCCCTCTCTCTCACATATACACATACACATATACTCAGATGATGTTGATGATGAGGCCTGGAGAAGAAATGGATAGTTACTAAGACTGGCTATGAAGGGGGTTCCCAACAGCGTCATGGTAGTTTCCTCCCAAAATAATGCTCCACAGATAGTAATTGGTACTCAGGACAAGACTTTAAAAAACAACTACCTAAAGCTTCAGGAAAGAAAAAAAACAAATATATTCTAGAGAGAATGAGACTTGTCTTTCTGTAGAGTTGTTGAGAATTTGAGTGCAAAATGATCCAACCACAATGGAAAGCTGTATGGAGAGTCCTCAAACTACTAAAACTAGAGCTTTCATATGACCCAGCAATCCCACTCCTAGGAATCCACCCAAAGGATACAAAAATATTAATTCAAAAGGATACCGGCACCCCTATGCTTACTGCAGCAGTATTTACATAGCTAAGGTATGGAAACAACTCAAATACCCAAAAACAGATGACTAGATAAAAAAGATTTGGTAGATATACACAATGGAATACTATTCAGCGACTAAAAAGATAAACTCATGTCTGGTTGGCTTTTTTGTCTGAGAACAGTCCAGCATCCCTACCGTAGAATTCATAGTTACAAACCAAAGTGACAGAAAATATGCAGTCCTCTGCAAGTATTTAAAAAAGTCAGAAGATGCTGGAATAACTGAAAATCCTTGTGGCGTTAGGATTTGGGTGTCTTTACAACTTAGTGCCTCTTTAAGCTATAATCTATTTACATTTCATTAACAAGGATAATCGCCCTTTACCTTCTCTTTCTTAGGTCTAAAAATGACCTAAAATAATTTTGATGAAAAGAATCTATAGAACACAGTATGAGTAACAATTTGAAAATTTATATAGAAAGTATTCTGCCTATTCTTTAAAGTACACAAAGAGAATGTTCACATTGCAGGTATTATTCAGTCACAAGAACATAAAAGTCTCAGGTTCTTGAAGGAAACTATATCTACTTCACATCCCACCAATTTCATTAATTTTAGTAAAATGTGCAAATATAAGAAACTAAACTGATATGAGTCCATCTCAGACAGAAAAAAAAAAATCCTCCCCCCACACACCAAAGTTGTCCATGTCCTAATTTCCAGATCCTCTGATTATGGAGAGGGTAGTGGTTAAAGTCAAAATTCATCTGAATCAATTTAGAAATCTAATTGGCTTGTAAAAGGATCCTTGGGTCAGGAAATGTCTATCAAGCAAGTAGGAAGGTCTCAAAGCTGGCACAAAATGGGAGGTTTTTATAGTCAGAGAAACAGTGGGACAAGGTCATTAGTGAAAGGGAAGAACAATGATAGCAGGCCAAGTTCCTTCTTTCAGGGGAAGGCAAGAAGGCTTGTTACAGACATGACCTCACTGGAAAAAACTACATATTGATTGCTTTAGAAGTCCACTTTGGGGAGAGGCTGAAACTTTTAAGTAGCTTGGTTTCCTCATGAAGAATTCCATTTTGGGCCTGTTGTTGTTTTCTTTTTTCTTTTTTTAAAGATTTATTTATTTATTCGTACAGAACTGGGGTACAGGCCAGAGATGCAGAGGGTGAGAGGATTCACCAGAGATAGAGTGGGGAGCAGAACAGGCAGATCGATGAGGTACACTGCTGAGGGGAGCAGCGGGCGTGTCAGGAGAGGTCTGCCACGCCATGTGGATCTCCTCCGGGGGCAGGTGGGGATGGAACTCATGCAGAAGTGACTTAAGCTTCTTAGTGCTGTGCTTTAACCCGCTGTGCCACCAGGGAGGGCCTTGTTTTTTCTTTAATGAGAGATTAGATTTTCAAGCCTTGAGGTGAGAAAATAACCATGTATTGTCTGGATGAACCGAATTTAATCACAAGTCTTAAAATTGTGGAGGTTGCCCAGATACGGTGGTAGGACATGTGAGGACAGAGACGGGTCAAAGAGTGAGAAATGTGCTGGCTGAAGTTGGAGGAAGGGCCAGGAGCTGAGGAATGCAGGCTAGAAGATGCCAAGGTCAGAGAGGAACACAGCCTGACTAACAGCCTGACTCAACTTCAGAGAGAGCCACTCAGATCCTATGTCCTGGCTGTGAGGCAACCCGTTTGTGTTGTTTAAGGTGCTTTATCTGTGTGATTTGGTACATTGGAAACTAATGTAAAGCTCAGAAATAAATTAGCAGCTTTATGCGAGTCAGGAAATTTTTCTTTTTTTTTTTTTTAAGTTTTATTTACTTATGCATACAGAACTGGGGTACAGGCCAGAGGTGCAGGGTCAGTGAGAGGATTCACCAGGGGAGAACAGAAGAGGCAGACTGACAAAGTATACTGCTGAGGGGAGCAGCGGGGGGTCAGGAGAGGTCTGCCACTCCATGTGGGTCACCTCCAGCACTGGGGATGGAACTATCACCACAGCGGCTTGGCTCTCTTGCAGTGCTGTGCTTTAGCCAACTGTGCCACCAGGGAGGGTCCTAAGGAAGCTTTTCTAAGGGCTTTGGGATGAGAAGATGAGAGCACTCACTTAGGCAGCCTGTGTGACCCACAGGTCACTGAGGCCCACCTCTGTGTGAAGATTCTCTTCAACAAAGGCCTCCAGAACGAGTTGCACATACCTCATGAGTGTGAACACATAGCCCGTAGATTACGGAAACACAGTGTAATCAAAAATTTTCAGTAACACTTGTGCATGATCTCAAAAATACTGAAGGCTCATATAGTTCTTATTCATGGTCTTTTTCATTTGTTTGTTCTCAAACTGATGGAATGCAATAAAAAAGATTTGCATGGAGGTTCTGGATCAAAATCAACAAAATTCCACTATTGGAAATGTGTCCAGATACCACTGTCAGAACTAAACAAGAAAACTCTGCTTCTGCTTTCTGTTCGAGGTAAATTAGATACCACTGATGTGAGGAAGAGTTAAGTCAAATAGGTAACTAGGAAAAAATGAGAATTTCTCAATGTTTATCTCTGCTTGGGTCTTTTATTAAATTTTGCAATGTTTGAGTTCTCGTTTTCATTTCCCTGATACTGTCACATATCTTAAAATTTCCCAAGAAAGAGCTTAACTGCTCACTGTTTTATATGAAATAGTGCTTGGGCGCAGTAATGAAAAATTCCATTTGCTTTCAAATTATCTGTCTAAGAACTATCGATCATCCCTTCTACACAGTTTCTACTACTATGATACCAAAAGGCTATATTGTCTAGTACTAGTCTAAAATTTTATTAATTTAGAAATTACTATCTATAGTTTAATCTCTTAAGGACTTCTAGCATCTCTGTAGTTTTATCAGATTATACTATCCAATAACAGAGATTGTAGTCATCTACCAAACTCTAGTATATTCTCCCTCATTTTTTTTTTTCTCCCTCATTTTTTAACCAGCTTCTTCAACTATCTTAAATCTCCTATTTGGCCTCCACTCCTGTTATGATTATCATGTTCTCAGTCTCTGTGCTGGTGATAATTCCAACCCCTGGACTCCAAGTTCCTGCATTTTCCTTGACCCAACCCACAAATTAGCCATCCACTGTGGTGACCATACTTTAAATTTATGCTGTTCACATAATAGTTACACATCATAGGTGACTATTTAAACTTAAATGAATTAAATTAAAAAGCCATTTCCCTGGCCACTGTAGTTATTCTTCAAGGGATAGCTACAATGGTTATTGGCTACAAACCTGTTCTCCATAGTCACAGAACATTCTTCTGGACAACACTGCACTGGAGTCTTGACAAATTTATTACTCATGAAAGAAACTTCTCTGTGACCTCAGTCTCAGATATCACACCCCTAAGCCCAACTCCTTTATTTCCAGCTCACTCCCTATAGTGATTCTAAGACCCACAGCTCTGTGATACTCATGGGGATACCATACCTGGCGACCATGCCACCTTTTCACTGCCAGAAATCACTATTTTACCTGAGTTAGACTTTTAGCAGGGTCTACAATAACCATCATTTTCTCACACACCCCTACAAATTCACTAAGTATTCATTCAATATATGGAAAATTCTATTTGGTTATACAATTGTACCTATTCCACACTGTTAAAAATAGCTGAGCCTAACCATATTAACTGATATTTATTTTATATATTTTTAATTATAACTGTCAACACTCTTTCTAATTGCTCTTAAGCAACTCGTCCATTTTCACGTTGACTTTTTCAGAGAACACTTTTCAATGGGACCTATGTTAGGTGGCCACAAGGGGGAGCCAGAGGATGACTAGTAGGTGGGAATTCATTTTGAAACAATATCTTAACAATCAGGGTAATAAAATATCCTGTTCAAAATAAAAAACAATAAAAACAGACTGATTGATTTAAACCCTGAATCAACACTTACTTTTCCCTTGGCTTTTTCCAGGTAATTTAACCTCTGTGGTTCCTTTCTATAAGTAAAAATCCATGCGCACAATGCCTGCCACAAAGGTCTTTAATACAAACAAATAAATGGTATCGCTCATTATTATTATCGGAAGTAATAATGAGCTTAAAAAAGAAAGAAAGCTCTGCAGTTACCCAAACACTTCTAGCAAAGCTTAAACAAACCATCTAAATGAGCACGGTTGAGGTTGTTGGAACCTGATTGTATTTACCGCGCTCTGAAATTATCACACCCAAGTTTTCTCTTCTTTGCATCTGCTTCACCACCCTCTAATGCCATAATAACTCAGAAAGAGCATAGCTCTTGTATGTTTTGCTCACCCCTTGCTCCCCAGAAAATCGAACAGTGCTTGGGACTTTCCAGTGGTTAATCAATATACGTTCAAATAATTGACTAATGAATTGTCCTTCCAAGTGTATTTTATAATGATCTTAACAGAATCATTATATCCCACTATCCTCTGCGCGAATCCTTGCTCAACGATGCTTGACCAGTTTGCTTTCCCATTACCCACCACACTCAACCTTCTGTGGTTTTGCGGTGCCTGGTAAACAACGCCCTCTCCTCTTACCATATGCACTTTGCCTTCATTCCAAATCTTTTTTTTTTTTTTTAAAGATTTATTTATTTGTGCATACAGAACTGGGGTACAGGCCAGAGACTCAGGG